CTGGGAACTCCCCACAGGCTTCACAAGACAGCTTTTAGACTGAATCAGGATTAGCTAGTCTGACAGTAAGGTGAGGATGGTTGGAATAAGGAATGCCACCGACACAGAGGACCCCTTCCAATGACCCCAGCTCATGGCAGCATTTGGACATTTACTGACCATGCAGCTGCCCTGAAATGGGACACAGGGTCCACCAGAACCAACAGTGGTCTTAAGTCGACAACTTTGGAGCAGGAGGAAGCCTCATGGCTCCAGGACATGATGATTTTTAAGGAACATAGAGAATTTCCCCTTTACTAACCTTCTTAGTTACTTACACTGTTCTCAACCTCACCCTATCAACAGCACCCAGAGAAAGCTAAAGGGGGTGGAGAGGGAGAAATGCAGTCTCTTCAGACAGCAGAAGACCTTATTTCTTCCTGTAGTGAAAAGGCTCGATACACACAACCAAGTGCAGCGAGGAAACAGGATTTTCTCCTTTCAAAGGCTCCAGCTGCTGCTGGATATGAGCAGGGTAATGATAAGGAAGACACACAGATAAACTGATGCTGTCGACAGCCTTTTATAAATTCCCAGCCAAATAGCTGGTTCCTCAGGAGGGGAAAGGAGTTGGCACATTTGGATCAGGGATTTTGCAAGGTCTGTGACCTCCACAGCTGAGGGAGATGTAGCATTTGGCTTTTGAAGCTGAAACCCTTTGCTTTTCACAGCAGTCTCATATTAACATTTAACAGGTTTACCACTGCTTTCCTTTTAAAGCTGACCAATTTCTCCACCACCTCACTTAGTCATAGGCAAGCCAGTACCACCCACCTAAGAGTCCCTAGCATCGCACACCTGCTTTTCTACATCTCCACTGCTGGCAGGTGTTGCATCACTTTATCACTGACTTTGCAACCAGAAGTTTGTCATCAGCGCAGCAACTTGCAATTTCAACAGCGAGGCGCACCATTCCTGTTCTGCTATGCCTTCCCACGCCCACATTCATTCTTTAACTGCCCAAAACACCTTATGCAACACCTCGAATTCTCCCTTCAAAAAGGAGAAGGAAAACTGAAAAAGCTGCAGGTGAAACTCTTCCTCTTTTATAGATACAGGTCTGGGGCTGAGCCTTACAGGGGTCCTTGGAGAGCACCAGACCTTCCACTGGTGTTGTGCAAGTAGCTCATCTGCCTGTCTCACTCTTCACTGGCTTCTATCCACAGTAGTATCTGGGCTGGGGATCAGCTGAGCTCTGGTTCTGCATCAGCTAATTACAACCAGC